TTTTTCCTGTAATACCTTATTATTGTTTTTAAAGACAAAGCTAATTGAAAGGGGCGCTGAGCAGAGTTACAACCAGGGATTACAAATAACCTTTTTTTTTCTTCCGCAGTTCGGTGCCCCTTCCAGCAGATGGCGCTCTAGGCAACCGCCTAGTTCGCCTATGCCAAGAGCCGGCTCTGCCCAGATCTTACAGAACTGAACCCAGATCTTACAGAACTGAACCCAGGTCTTACAGAACTGAACCCAGGTCTTACAGAACTGAACCCAGATCTTACAGAACTGAACCCAGATCTTACAGAACTGAACATAGTTTCAGAACAGCAAACAACTGGAACCATGGTCAAATAATTCCAACCCAAAACCTAATTAAAGAAGCTAATGAACCTGCACTGAAGCACCTACAGAACAACTCAAAACATATGAGGTGTAAAATATAAATAAACCTGAATGTAATAATATATAAAATGTTTAAAGTAAGAAGTTGTCATGTTTCAGTCGCTATAAGGTCACTTAGTTTGTTTTCCTCGTTTTCTTCAACAGCAGTCTGCCAACGTGGAGGAGACCAGTTCTGCTGGAGGATTCTACTGGTCTTGGTGGTCTTGTATTTTATCTGAGCTTTACAATAAAACCTTTTGAACCTGTCAGATCTGCTACATAATACACTGCAGACACATATTTCCATGCAGGACCCTTGTGTTTGAGGTTACCTCTGTGTTTCTCCTCCGTCTGTCTTCCTGTGTGAAGCTCTTCAAGCTTTCACACAACTGAGAGCAGATTTTCAGCATGGATCTCATCAGTACAGCTATTTCAACAGTTTATATGTCAAAGCGTTCAGCTCCATCAAGGCTTCTTATGACTTCAGTAATTTAAAGTTGTTGGTTTTTTTTTAGATACTGCTTTTTCTGCCATTTTTTCCTTTTTACTTCTTTGTGCTAATTTCAGATTCTATTGATGTCTATTTTGTTCATATTAGCTTTTTTCTGTTATTTCAACTACAATCAGTCATTCATGTAATTTTAACTTTTTATGCATATTCCAGTTGATTTCTGCTTATTTCAGCTTGTTTTTGTTTTGTCTTTTTGGCTACTTTTAGCTAAAAAGTACTTTTTAGCTACTTTTTAGCTACTTTTAGCTACAGCTAATTTCACCTTTGATAATTTCAGCATCCTACTGCTTAATTCAACAAATGTGCTCTTTCTAATTCTTTGTGCTAATTTTAGCTATTTCAGCTAAAATTTTAA